GAATTCAATATCAACACTTGGGCGGTAGCAAACAAAACAGACTTGGTATCGGAACGTTCAATGTTTGTGGAGGTGCACATGGTACTTTTGGGGGTAGAGTTGCTTCGTGGGTTGGTTTTGGGAGGCTTTTTCGAGAAACAAAGTAGTGTGTTGTGGCGTCCAGAACAAAGATGGCATACGTCTTGGTGTGTACAGGATGACACCGAATGAGCCCTAAAACAATTAAAACAAAGGCGTTCCTTCTTAACGAAGGCATGGCGTTGTGGTACTTCCATCTCTAAAAACTTGTCGCGCTTAATTAGGGGGTGGAAACTTTGCTGCTTGCAACAACTACAACTATTATCGATTCGGGTGGACAAACTGTAAGGGGGTTTACCTCCTCTTTTCCCACCACTAGAACGAAAAGGGACTATTGGATCAGGAGGGTTGTCTGACAAATTACAGTTTTCCAAGGCACGACAGTTTTTTTCCAGAAACGTAAACAGGTTGGTGTTGGTTGGGATGACTATTCCGCTGTAATCTACCTCGAACTTTTGTTTGAGAGAAGGATCCACTTTCTGGAGGAGGATACTCATTTTAACAAAGTCTAGAAGGTTGAGGTCGTTGTAGTGTGAGAGGGCTTCGAAATTTTCCCGAAAAGTCGAGAGCAATTTTCTCAATCCCCGAGCGTTGTTGGCTTTAGCGGATGGTGCTGAATAAATGTTAGTCCAGTAGTTGGTAATAAGGCGCCTCTTATTATTGTATATACGCATGACGGAATCATAAGCTACCCTGTAATTTGCAGCGACAAATGGAATATTGCGGATAGATGATTGGGCGTCACCGACAAGGGCTGCGCTCAGTGCTTGAAACTTGGCAATATCACTGAGCTCGGTTCTGTCATGGATTAAACTGTTGAATAAATCGATGAAGGTGGGCCACGCTTTTAAATCCCCGTTGAAGGTTGGTACGCTTACTTTTTGAATTTCCAAACCGGTGGTATGGCCTTGTCTGATCATCGGCGATAATGAAGGATTTTGTGGGAATGTATCAAGAAGAAGATCGCGAGCAATGGATTTTACAGAATATTTTATCTCGTCAAATGAAGCTACCAGTGCTTCCTGTTCGCTTTCCTGCTGCTCGTTTAAATCTAACCTGCATACTTGACAGTGCAAATCATCAAATTGAGTAATGAGAGAGTCCAAGTCCGATAGACGCAGTTGAAAAACTTTCAAGTCTTTCGTGTCAGCTTGTGTATCTTGCGCCGTTTGCACTTTTGTGAGCGTATTCTCACAACGGGTTAGGATGGACTTCTACTGTCTAGTAAGGCCTGTGTATTCACTCATTTTTAAGTGTAAAGTAAACGCTCCTGCAAAGGTAAACAAACAAATTCGTATTTTCAAAAGGTTCGTGAATTCGACGCGGCGGCAATTTCCAATCCAAAAATGGTAAAACAAATGGTTAGGCAATAAATCCAAATGGAGGTGATTCAATTTATTCGAACGCGAAACTTGGAATACAAGACGCGAATACGTAAACAAACAAATTCGTGCTTTACGAGTGCCAAACGTGTGGTTAGGTTCAATAATCCCGTGGCCAACGAGCCAAATTTCAAATGCGATCTTGCAAGGTGCGAAGTGCGTGATACACTGAGCAAAAAACGATGTCCGGAGAGTGCAAAAAAACGGTTAGCAACAGAGATAAAAAACGTGACTGCTAGAAAACAAGGTACAAATACGTGCAAAATGGTCACAAAATCTAAATAGACTGCATTTTCCACGCGCTTTTTCAGATAATCCGGCTCGAAGGACCATAATGTTAAGGGTTCCAATAGGGTCGAACGGTTCACGGTTGGCTTAACCCTTTTGGGATGCGAAATGGTAAAAAAAGCGAACACGATAGGCAATGACCCACTGTGAAGACTTACCGCAGGCTATCGTGTCGTCGGTTCCGGACGGGGCCCCGTTTATTGCACTCGCGCTTGAAACTCGCGGACTTGCGGAATCGGCTCTGTTTCTGGCTCCGGACCATGTGGAAGTGTCTTTTTGAATCTCAATGTCAAAAATTTCCTCTTTTTCCTGTGCGATTGCGCACAAGCCGTCACAGGGGTTACGCGGGTTTGAGAAACTGGGTGAACGCGCAAACTTAAATTACCGATCCCAAAAGGTCTCTAACCCGACTTTTGAAAATAGAAACAATGGATTCTGAACACTACCTATAGTAACGCCGCTTTCACATCAGTTTCATTTACCAAATGTAATTGACAGTCTATTATACCCTTTTTAATAAAAGATTATTTAGATACATAGTGTCTCTTGGAATGTGTGGTTTCAATTTAAAGTCGTTTAGCCGATTGAAATTAAACTAAAAAATAAAGAATTAAAGAAAAAGTGGTCCCAGGTCCTAAAATATCTGACGTGTCAGTGTTTTATTGCTGTAAGGATCATAAAATATCTCTCTCTTCTAAATATTATCTTAATTAATATTTAATGTATATAGTAATCATGGAATTTCACGACAAAAGGTTTTCGTTGGTGGAGGTTTATTCATCTCTATGATAATGTCTCAAAAAAATTATCAATTGTATTATATAATGCAAAATTTTATAAATGACAGTTTAGTCACGGGTTTGTATAGGCACGAGCGTAGGGAGAGTTTAATAAACGACTATTTGAAGAGTTTATAAACCTTACGTTTTTGGGTCACCAATACACCACGAATAAATTCACTGAGAAACACCAACCTAACATAGCTGCACAATTCGGTATTTTAAAGTAGAGAGTAGAACAATTAAATTTTTGGCACTACCCGGAGTAATAAAACAATCCACCTTATCAACATCATGCCATTTTTATTTACAACATTTACATACCAAGTTTTAACATGATGTCCTGCGAGATTTATAAATAAAAATATTTTGTTTTAAATTAATTTTAACGCCATGTATTATAAGGATATGAAAAAATGAAAAATCGCCTATCAAAATTATTTCATTAGGTCGACACTTATTTTCGAGCCACCATGTATATAGCTATTTTGCCAAATTTCTAGCACCGTCACTAATTCCGTACTTAATTGCCCAAATTCGGTAATAACAAAAAGTGATTGATCTATGTGCTTTACGAAAAAAAAGAGCCAAGCAGCGGATGCGAAAACCTTTAATAATAGCTTATCTCCAAATTTAATTCAATCTTAAATTCGCTTAAAAGAAGACTCGAGCGAGTTTACTACTTTATTAAGTTTACTTTATCGTCGTGTATACTCTTTAAATTGAAAATAGACATAAATCGAAAAATACTTCTAAACTTTCTAGAGTTTATAAATTAAAAAAAACCGAAATAAAATAGTTTTACACGAAACCACGACTTTTTCGATTATCTCGGTAATAATTAAGGTAATTTTAAAGAACAAAATGGAGAAGTTTACCCTGTTAAAAGCGAATCGGACGTCGAGGTGACGGCCCTTAAGTGAATGGAGTTTGCAGAACTAGTGGATGAAATATGAATAAATATTTTGTTGCCTACGAGTTGGTGTCTGACGGTAACAGTCAAATTACTTATCCTGGTTGTTAAGCTGTTAAATAAATTCGATCGTTAAAAAACATAATTATTTTCTTTAAAAAATGTTGCACGAAGTATGAAGTTCGCACTATGGGTCGTGCAAAGTGTAACAAGGATTATTTTTTTGTGCTATCAAATTAAATTTAACGGATTCACAACAATAGCGTGAAATGTTCTGATGAAGATGAAGCTGGAATGTCAAACATTTTTTCAATAACGCCAAGTGTAAAGTATTTCTTGTATGATTGTATAGTGGAAACATTTGTTTTTTTAACAACTAACTAGCACTCACACCCAAAAAAATACAAAAAGATCTACTTAGCTACGTGCTGATAAATTGAATTTGTCACTGTTATCGCTCCGGTTTTCGTACGCCCCCGCCCTAATCCGAAAATCCCTTAAATCCGATAAGACATTTACGTAGGCCTTATATTAATCAAAATTAGCCTGGCTCACAGTCTGGACTGTAACGTTGGGTACAAAACGAAAGAAATTTCGCCACTGATAATAAAGTCGTATTTGATAATAAAATGGCACTTTCAGATATGGGATTGGGTATTTTAACTTTTCTTGAAAATAAACGGAAACCTAATCTCTTAAAGTTATTATCTTCAGTAATAAAAAAGTGTAATTCAAAGATGAAGGTTTAAATAGATTAATAATGGGAAAGTAAGTGGTCGTTCAAATCAAGGTAAACGATTTGGTCATGAGTTTGGAATATTTCAAATGCAAAATGGTGTCTCCAGTTATGAGCTGTCTCAACTTATACCACTTCTTAGTCTACCCCATAGTCAAAATACATCTACTACTTATTTAACACTGCACAGATAGGCCCCTTTATCCAACAAGTTCTGAGAAACAGTTTCGTAAATTCGCAACCCCCTACTTCTGGCTTAGCGTAGATTTCCACGTGACTTTGTGAGTGCTTCAGGCTAAATAGTAGAACAATTAATTAATTTTAATGTCACTAAAACTAGCTGACATAACCTTTGGCGAATAAACTTTCACGTATGGGTTGCTTTGCTTTTAGAGAATCAAAGACATCTCCGTAACATACAATTAGCAAAGCGTATTTTTCAGTAATCTGAAGTGACTTTGACTTTTAGAAAGAAAGTAGAGACCCCTGGAACGAAGAGGGGTGGGGGGTATAAATTTTATTTTGAAAATCGCCATCAAGTTCACGTATTCAGGTGTCTAGTGTTGTTCGCGTAAACATTTCTAAAATTTTTATTTAGAAATTTGATTTTTGAAGTAAAAACATCGAAACAGTCAATTGTTGTAAGCCACCACAACGTCCAAGTGGCAGTTAAATAAATAATAAATGATAATTAACTTACTTTCCAATTTCGTCGTGCAGACAGAGCTATGTATTTTTCAGTTAGATTTTACATTTTCAATAGATAAGTACCCTCTTCTCCTAGAAACGTGTGATAGAGAATCTCTATATCTTTATTGTTTCAGGTTGAAGACCCAGTAAATTATGCCGTAAAGTTGGCAAAAGAAGTAAACTGCACGATTCCCGATGACGTTGGAAAAGATCATGAGCAAATAGTCGACTGCCTTAGGGAGACGTCATTGGAAGAACTCCTGCAGGCTGACGTGATACCACCTGCCTATTTAAGCGCTTTCGGTCCAAGCGTCGATGGTAAGCCCTTTTAAGGCACTATCGAACATATATTGCCTACATCGCCGTCGTTTTTATAGGTGTTGTAATAAAAGCGGATTTTGCTAAAGAGCTAGTGACGTACTTCAAGCCACAAGACCTTCAAAGTTTTGTCGGTCCAGTGAACGCCAACATGAAACGGAGCGAAGCTACATTGGTACCTAGGGGAAGTAATCCCTACGATCTGCTCTTCGGAGTAGTCACAAGCGAAGCTTTGTGGAGATTTTCATCGAACGATATCCAGGCGGGTTTCGAAGGTGAACGCAGGGACAAAATTATAAGAACTTACGTGAGAAACGCGTATACGTATCATTTGAGTGAGATTTTTTTTACGGTGGTTAACGAGTATACGGATTGGGAACGAACCGTGCAGCATCCAATAAATACTCGAGACGCGTGTGTTTCGGCTCTTAGTGATGCGCAATTTGTAGCGCCGTTAGTGCAAACTGGTGACTTGTTGAGTGCAAAACCTTCGCAGCCCGGACAGGAACCTGCGGGACCGAAAACTTTCTTTTATGTGTTTGATTACCAAACTAAAGATGGGGATTATCCTCAGGTAAATGAAATAGAAATATTTTTTAAAGAAACTACTATAATACTATTTATGAATCTTCTGGATTCCTCCTGCGTAGGTTGTGAACTAATTATCTTGTTGGCTTCTTCAGAGCTTAATTGAAACTGGATCGCATTCTACTCTGTTTCTGCTTATATATTGTTTCAAGGGAGTGGAGCTAAAGGAACGAACGAACGAACGAACGAACATTGTCTCGTGTGACCGGTTCCCATATTGGTGAACGGTATAGGCCTGAGTTGCGGTTAAGATTATTTGGTTGCTTATAGATTTCTATAGATTCTCGGATTTTTCGTTGGTTTCGTTTTCGTTTATCGAATAAAATTTGGTGTTATATTTATTCAGTTATATTTCAAAGCCTGAACGCATTTCTGTAAAATCCAATCCCGAATCCTAATTCTAAAAGCAGATAAAAGAAATTATATGGTGGTAATAAACAGTAGGGAACACCAGGGACAATTTTTTTTTAATCCAGAAATTCTTGCAGACCGATCCTATCATCAACTTAAAAAAGATCCTGCGTCACATGTGGAACGCAAACTTAAATCTGTTATTAAGGCTTCTTATCTATCAGAATCCTTGAAAAAATCATGACTCTAAGATTCCTTGTCTCTACGGACTCCCTAAGATTCACAAACCAGGAGTGCCCCTCCGACCTATTGTCAGCACCATTGGTTCTCCAACATATTCTCTAGCAAAATATCTAGCTTCTATATTAAAACACTTTACGCGGGAAACTGATATATTCCTACTTATTCCCTTCATTTCATTGCACAATTAAAACTCTCAAAATTATTTGAATATTGAAACATATTCTCTTGCAACATATCTAGCTTCCTTATTAAAACCCCTGACAGTTTCGTCCTTAATTCATTTCACTTCATTGAACAATTAAAAAGCATTACATTAGATACACAAGATATTCTAGTTAGTTTCGACGTAGAATCCTTCTTTATCGAAGTTCCTATTCCTGAAACTCTCACATCATTTCAGATATATTAAAATCCGAGAATCTGGAACCAAACCATCTCACCTTAATTGAAAAACGTTTATCGGGAACATATTTTTCTTATAACGGTCAAATTTTCGAATAAACGTCGGGAACAGCTATGGGTTCTCCACTATCACCAATCATGTCGAATATATTTATGGAAGCCATTGAGAATAAAGCTCTCGACACCTTTCATCTAAAACCGAAATTATGGGAATGCTACGTCGATGATACTTTTGTTATTTGGCCTCATGGTCAAGAAACCCTAGTAGATTTTCTTAGACATTTAAACTCTTTACACCCTAACATACGTTTTACCATTGAGTTGGAAACTAATAAGACCTTCTATTCTTAGATATTCTTATCAATAGAAAATCAGACCTAACATTGCTAACATTGGGTCATAGTATGGTCTCATCACCATCCGACCCAAAAATCATCGGTTATCAACTCTTTTGTTTACAGAGCCGTAAAACTATCTCAGCCCGAGTCACTGAACCCAGAATTAAAACAACTTACCTCTGCTTTTCTCTGTAAAAATTCCCACATTTGAGATATTAAACCTTCAAACACAAAATACATTTCACAACAATCTTCCAAAGACAATGGTTTGAAAGCAACTCCACACTTGCCACTGTAGTCCTTCTTAACATTCAAAATATCACTGACCACATATATGAAAGGTTGTTAAGAAATATAACGTTAAAACCACTTGCCCAAAAATCTCTCAATATCTTCGTCCTCCAAAGACAAAATTCCGTTTGATATTACCGTATAATATCAAACTAGGCTCAAAGAGCCAAAAAGATTACGACAAGTAAAGTCATCAGTAGTTGCCGAACATAATCACGAAACCCAACATGCATGTAATCAGTTCTTCTACGAAAAATCCGAAAATCTATAGAAATCTTTCAGCAACCAAATAATCTTAACCGCGACTCAGGTCATTATCTTTCACCAATATGGCAATCAGTCATCTGAGATAATGTTCATGCGTCCCTTTAGCTCTGCCCCTTCAAACAATATATAAGCAGGTACAGAGTAGAATGCGAGCCAGCTTCATTTAAGCTCTGAACAAGCTGACAGGGTGATTGACGAAACGTCAGCAAGTTCGATTCATCAACAGCCGACGCAGGACAAATCCAGAATATTTGTAAATAATGAAATGATAATGCTCGCTAGTATTTCATTTTTTGAAACGGTAAACGAGATTCTTGTACTTAATATAAGAAAGTCATTCGTTATTAAAAATATAACGTTATAGCGAGTTGGTTTCAGCTGTCACAGCTTTTCGCTTTCAACCTTCATTTCCCTCGCCTCATGTATTGATCTATAATTTTCATTATGTCTTTTACTTCTGATATTAAGAATTTTATAACAGTGTCACTACCAACTTGACTACGTCTCGATGTTCGGCAGCTCATTCAATAATCAATCAATCAATCAATCTCACCTTATAATTCTGTCTAAGTGTGAAGTTAATTAAATCTTACTATTTCGCTTTCTTGGCCCAATTTATTTTTCAGTTCTGCTAATATTCTTTTGTCCCAACGAAATGGTATAGGTTGAATTCTACGTAGATAATTCAGTGACGTAAGTGACGCTTTCTAAGTCGATAAGATTGTTAGGCCCCCGTTTAAGCTTTTGAATTCAAATATAACACTTTTCACCTACGAAGTGCCATTGCTGTACTACTGAGGATTATAATATTTATAACTCGTCACTGATTGACATACGACTATTAGATTTTTCCCCTGTTGCCAAATATACCAATTTAACGGCGTTTAATTATAACTGAAAAAGATGAAAAACTCAAATGGGTAGAAAACTTTAACTTAAAATCTCATATTTTTTAGTAACCACTTAACTCTCCACTGAAGAAAAACAAGGAAACAAGTTTAGTAGTGAAAAGTAGCCCAAAGCGTCTTACCAATTGTTAGAAGAGATACCAATATCGAATACGAACTTTCGGTGGATTTTCGAACAGACTAATCTCAATGAGATAGGAAATGCAAAATTGCACGCCAACTGACCGGTCCAAGTTGACAAATAAGGGTTAACTAAATTGTTACAATAAAACATACTGTGTTATATATGGTTGAACTAGAACGAAACAAATCCTACTAATCAAGAAAACAAGAAACAATATAAAAAACCTTTACTCAGAATTATTTTTTCAGGGTCCTCCAAGTAGGTACTTAAAATCAGTTTAAAATCATCGTCACTGAATGAAACTATGAAAACGCAAAACGCAAATAACTTAGGACGAAAAAACTACCTTGTGGCAAATCTGCAAATTTAAGAAATAAGAACATCGAATACTTCGATGCATACACTACCGAGGAAATCTGAAACAGTGACTTTTTAAATACTCGGCCCGACAAAGAATAGAATGATCAACAAGAGGCACTGAAATTCCTTTTTAGTTGATACATGTAAACTGTTCTAGAGTCAGTCTATTATTTGTCAGAGACATTAAAATCTTATTAGAAGGAGTTGTTCATTTTAGCGGGTCCTAAATGGTTTAAAAAAAGATAACTCTTTTCAAGATAATATGTGATAAGATTCGGAACTCCCAGTCGTGCCGGTAAGTTTTGCAATTGTGACTGCTGTGAGTAATCAATTTCGCTTTATAAAATATATATAACTTGTCTCACTTGATGCCACGCCCGACTGCACCGCTGTTGCTATTTTTGAAAAGCGGAATCCTTATATGGCGCTTTAAATTGATTGTGAGAAAAATTAAATTTAGTGTGTTTTATGTATTGGTCTGAGAAGCTTCAAATATGCCATCGTTTCACTGCAGCCTTGATGGATGTATTTAAAAACAATATAGTGGTTTCTCGTTTTTTTCAGTACCTTCAGAAGACTATGAAAAACTTAAATTCCCGGAAGGTAATGTCTTTATAACTGGATACATTTTAAAAATATGTTATTCCAGCATACTTGTGAATTAGTGGTAGTCAAGTTATGTTGTAGAGCATTAATTTAAAAACACCGAATCTTAAACATAGTCACATATTTCAAATATTCGATTTAATCATGTAAACTATTTGTAAAGCCCTCGTATTCGAGCGGAACGATGTTCCAACAAAAACAGCTGCCCAAATAGCACAAGGACGTCCGTTAAATATTCTCGGGATATCTGACGTATATCCTAGGGACATACTGTTTCAGCGAAGGGACATCCTTAAGACATCTTAAGGATGTTACTAATCGGAACGTCCACAGTTTATCAGAAATATTGTTAAAATTGCTTGTACGACTACAAAAATTCTATCCCAGTATTTGGTACTCACGTGTTATGGAATTAACCCATTGGGTAAGGTTGGTGAAGTCGTCACTGGAATAGCAGGCGATATTTGAAATGCACAAATTTTCTCTAATTAATATTTAATCTTTAATTTTGTTTTTGATTATAAAAGTGAAAGACTGCCGATTGATACAATTAATAAAACACATTTAATGCACTTTTTTATTATTGTAGATATGAAAAAATTGTAGGTATATAATGTAGCAAAAATATACAACAACGTAGCCTAAAGCATCTTAAATATAGAGTAAAATACTATCTTGAACTAAACTTTAAAGGAATAACTAATATTTGACAGGTTTTCTGTCATTCTTTAATGAAAGTAGCTCTTTTCAACGAAGCAGGTATACAATTGAATGATGTTTGTGATGTGTTTGTCTTCTTATCCGCATCTGAAAATATTTTAGTTTTGGGAAAGACAGGTTTTATATATCCGTACTTTATAAAAAAAAAAGAACGAGACTGGTATCTTATATGTTTAAAAAAACAGATTTAAAAAATCCCTACATCCGCCTTTTATGTAAAGACTTTATTTCACCCTGGTAGTACTCTCATGAAAGTGATCTTAGATGCTAATTTCCACAATGATGTAGGTATACATTTATGTATTTCATTTTATTAAATACAAACCTTATTAAACTCTTATCGGTAAGATCACTTTCATGAGAGTAGGTACTATCGGCAGCAAAAAAAACTAGAACAAATACGACTTTTCAGTTTGACAGTAATGGCCTATTTTCATGCAATATTTTTGGTCAACTTAAAAATTTTCCTAGTTTTTTTTTGCTCATGATGGTATTATCGCTACTATCGCTATGAAAACAAACCTTATAAAATAGAAAAACGTTTTCATGATTTAACAGAACAATAATTTTAATGTGAAAATTGTGCTTTATGCAGGGTAATTACTAAAATTAATACTTTGTTTTTCGGGGCCAATTCTTGCATCCATTTTAATAAAAAAAATATACTAATAAATAATATAATTTTGTTCTGGTGGATTTTCTCTAACATTATTTGCTTAAATAGAAACATAGTTTAGTTTTGTATGCCTAAATTTGACTGCTCAAAAACATGAAGAGAAAGTGAATTTTACTTTTATTTTTTAAAAAACTAAGCAATAAAATATGAAAAGAAGTCTATAATCAAAAATCATATGTAAACTAACACGTATATTATAGCTAATATAGGTTACGAAAAGGTCAGTTTTCTCTTAACTCGGTCCAGTAATCACTTAAAAAAAGTATCTAAACTACGCAATCAGCATAATACCTATTTTATTAAATTATATTTATTTACTTTATTTATATTACATTTACGTTATATTTATTTTTAAAAAACATAATACCTACTTACCAAATATTAATTTGGCCAATTTTAATTTTGAAAATTTCTCCTTTTCCTTCATGCCCAACCAAGTAAATTTCATTGCAAGTTCATTTGAAATCAGCGGGGTCAGAGCTTGCTATCTCATTGACCTAGCAAAATAATAAAAAAACAAGGCATGATATTGGTACACTACACAACAATGGTTCGTTCAGCTTAGAATTTTATTATTCGTTCTGCAGTAATAATAATACCACAAAAAATTAACTGAAATGAAAGCACTGAAAACAGTAAACACAGCACACAAAATACTCAAAATACACGTCAAGTTGCCGTATACCCTACACCGCCAACAAAAACAAGGCTGAAAAGATGGCGGACGACGAGACGGAGCAGAGCCGACGAGACTCGAGCGAGTCCGGCACGGCACGACCACGACTAGTTGCGTCATCGGCTGCAGCCGAACAGTATTATCAAATAGGATCTTATGAACAAATATATTATTTTTACGTTTTTGTAATTTTTTTACTTTGATAAATCCTTATTTTCTGTGCTATTTTAATTCAAAAGCATTTCTTGTTTAGTTCGTGTTCAAAAATAATAAAAGCAAGTTGATTTTAACGGTTCGATTCCGTCTTTTTTTAGGACTTGCCAACACTGACGTCGATGTAGATGTGCACAAAAACGTTGCCAATAAAATGTCTCCCAAAACACCAAAAATCTAAAAAAACTAAGTATTTTCCTTCTCAGTTGTTCAAAATTTAACTTTTTAGATTTCATTTTGTTTTACGGTTTTACACTTTTTTTGCCATTATGACGCAAGGGTGTTTCCTCAGGCCATCTATTTAGAGGATATCCGTGGTATATCGTGTATCCGCAAGCTATAAATTCAGAGGATATCCCTGGAATGTATTTTACAGTATATCCTTAGTAAAAGCATTCTAACGTATATCCTAAGAATATCCTCCACATGTCCCGGGACATGCGACTTAAATGGGACATTGACCGGATATACTGGGGATATTGTGTGCTATCTGAGTAAGGATCCTCATTTACAATATTCTAATCTTTTTGCAATATTACAACATCTGATCAACACAAACGAATTACTAGATGATTTAAAAAAGGTCTCAGAAATCTCTTAAAATCGCAAAAGAAATCCAAAAACTAGAATCGATCTTCATTGCTAAAAACATAGAATCGGAAAGGATGCGGATCTGTTTCGTCGCATGTTTAGAGAAAGATGACACGAGCTGAACAAAGATAAGGAGAAATGGAAATGTCTAACGGTTAGACTTAGAGACGAATATAATGAAAATCTGAACTTTTAGTTCTTATTTATTTTGATAAATGGATTTTGATCAAGTAAAAGCCACCTAAATTCAACGAATATAAAAGTTTAAATGCATATTGGCTGCATATTATTTAACGCAAGACGGTTATAATGTTTTAAAACTTTAGTTGTTCCAAACCAGATATTTCACAAACTTTGCCATAACAGCGCGCAAATAAATGAAATAGACCCCTTACAAATCCCAAGGATTAATGCCGTCCATTAAATAAATATGCAAAACATTGGGTCCGCTATTGAGGCGCTACACGTTTAAATCTGGTTATCATATATAAAATTCATTGTGGCAACAGCGCTTACATGTAGCGAATAAAATAGTGAGGTTGCTGACGGAAAGCGTAAGAACCCCTTTGACGTCAACGGGTTGTGCATAATTTATGCATTTTTGTTTGGTGAAATGATAAATACGACGGGAAAAATGGCGCTTTGACGTGGTTAGACCTGGTCTTTTTCGCTTACAGTCTAATGATGTAGACGCAAGAGATTTATACATCTTTTATGTTCTGTGGAAATAAGATTGATCGTATTCTGGCTAGTGCGATGCATTTTTTGGGTTCAAAATACTTCGTGCTATACTAAACGACTTAGTTCATTTACCTTTTTACCCCAGGCATTAATACAACCTTATGTCGTAAGTAAGGAGTTTGTTTATTCTCATCATTCTAGCCCGTGAGGAAAGTTTATAAACTGTTAATGGATTCTCAACCGCTGAGGAAAGTGTCTCTAAAAATAAATTCGTTAAATGTCGTGCTCTTAACAAGGCTTAACCGAGTTGTTTTTGGCAAATTACTGCTGCCACTTAAATGAAGTACGTAAATTTTTGGATCTTGTTTTGATATTTATGTAAAATTCTTGAGAATTTTTAAATAAAATAAAAACCATCGCTGCCTTCACTTTATTGATGTTTGCTGAAGAAAAAAGCGACCCTCGTAGATATATTTTAAGAGTTTAAGAGACAAAAGCAAATTTCATAAAATCCGAAATTTTGATAGGAAGTTTAATTACCCAACGTTTTTTAACTTGTTTTAGAGAATGGGTACCGTCCATGGAGAAGAGTTGCCATACATATTCGGAGCACCTCTCGTCGAGGGATTCAATCATTTTCCAAAAAACTACACTAGATCTGAACTGGCACTGTCCGAAGCATTCATTATCTACTTGGCAAATTTTGCTAAAACTGGGTGAGTATAGTTTAAATATGTGAAACAATATACTTTCAGACAAAAGGCAAGTTTAAGAGATCATTGATTAATTACAAAAAACTAGTGCACTGAAGTATATAGTATATCAAATTAACATTCGGTGAGTACATTTCAAAGTTAACGACAATGGAATCCCAAAATGCATTTTTTACGAAGCATTTTAAGCTTTTAATAAATATGGAACAATGCCAATAAATTAATTGGAGTATTCTAGTAATCTGCCCTTGCTTAGTTCAGTGGTAGCATTGATATTCGTAGGATATTTTTTAATAGAACCTGAGAGACTATAATTTTGTAAAGCATTAAGGATTTGTACTCGCAATATCTGTTTTGAACTCAAGATATCTTCAAAATCTATTTTGTACTTGTTCGAAGCCTGTTACATGAATTTTGGAAATCTGTCCTTTTTTTTTAATTTTTGCATTTTATTTGAAACGTCTATCTATTATAAACCCGGATGGTCATTTTGAGAGTAGCGCTCCAATTGCAAAGTGTCTTCTCGGCGTTCAATGTTAATTAATGAATTGTTTTTGTTTCCTTGTTTTTATGCATCAACATTTTTCATGGCTTTTACTTCTTTCATATTTCACAAGAAAGCAGTAGTCCGTAGCTTCAATTTCACTCTATTATGTGGTATATCGTTACATTTGGTGTCTTGAATTCCATAAAAGTGTCACGTTCCGGACGTGAAGCGCGTGATATTTAATGGGATACTGAAAATATGAAAACGTGTCTATATTTGCAGTTCCGAGGTCATTTACTTCGTCCTGACCTATACTCAAGAGGCCGCATTTGTACAACCTTTCCCATCCACGTAATGTATGAGCTCGTTCCACAAAGTTCGTATATGTATTTCGCAGATTCGTCTAGAGGATTTTTAGAATTCAACCCATTCCTTAGATAAGACGTTATGGTGGTAATTGACGGCACTAATGCAAAAATCGCCCAGTCGCATTTTTTTTGAAATTTACTCTGCTAACGAATATTTAATTTTTTAACTAATTTCTAGGTTCGATATATTGACTGCCAGTTTTAAGAAACGAAATTGTTTCTGAAAAATTACCTTGTAAATCGTGCTTCAAATCGTTCAAGGTTTTGAGATAGCAACTGACAGTGACGTGTAATTATGCAGTCGGTCAAAAAAGTCCCCGTACACATAGCATTTTTTCAGTTTTCTTTTTGTTTCTTCTTTCACTTACATTTATTGAGAAATATATTTAAAGTAAATATCGACAATCTCGTTAAGATTAATAAAAATAAAATGAAAATCATTTGAGACACTTCATTTGAACTATAAAAGTTTTAGAAGCAAGAAATTATCTCAAATAAGTCTTTGACGCCACTTTTAAGTCAGTGGTTTTGAACTAAAAGCAAAATGAGCGCTAAAAATTGCGAAATTCCAATTCCGCTTCGAAAAATCATAGTAGATTTATGGAAAGAGAAAAAATCCTTTAGAGATATTGGTAAAATAATACAAAAATACATTCAACTGTACAGTATGGTCAGGGGGTCGGGATAAAGTTTGGGAAAAAAAGCGACAGCTCTGGAAATCGGTGAAGCATGGTGGAGGTAATGTTTTATTGTGGGAGTGCTGGTCAGCTAACGGGACAGGCAATTTAGCTTTTATTGGCGGAATCATGGACCAACATGACTATTTGAACATCCTAAAGATTAATTTAAATAAAAGTGTTGAAAAACTTAACCTTGAGGTGCGTTATTTATTCCAACAGGATAACGATCCTAAACACACTCCTACGCTTGTACGTCACTAGATGATTCATAATGTCCGCCAATAACTTCATACACCACCACAATCTCCAAATGTTAACCCCATAGAGCACATGTGGAAAAATTAAGTGACAAAACATCAACATAAATAAGAAATAAAAGTTCAAATTTTCACGAAATTATATATGTTCACATGACAATTGTTTCGACAACTTTATCAAATATGATTTTGATAAAAACACAACAAGTTGTCGAAACAATTGTCATGTGAAAATATATAAATTAGGAAAAATCTGAACTTCTAGTTCTTATTTATTTTGTTAAATGGATTTTCATATATTAAAAACCACCTCAGTACAATTTTTGAAAAACATCAAGTTAAGTAAAGAAGACCTCAAAAATAGGATAACAGAAGAGTGGAAAAACATATCACCAGAAGTTACAAGAAAGCTTGTTTTAAGTCTTCCAAAAAGACTTAATGCCATTATTAAAGCAATTGTACAAAATATTAGAGTGTAAGAAACTTTTCTATTTATCATAAGAAGTAATAGTGTACTGAGACTTATTTAACATAGTTTTGGTTAGTTTATTTTTATTTATTTGTTTATTTATTATTATTTTACTCTTATTTATATTTATTTGACATAGTTTCTTGCTTCTAAAACTGCCTTATTTTTCGTCGTTTAAATAAAGTGTTTCAAACGATTTTTATTTTATTTTCATTACTCTTAATGAGATTGCCGATATTTACTTGAAAAATATTTCTCGTTAAATGTAAGTGAAAGGAGAGACTAGAAGAAAACTGAAAAAATAGTATGTGTGCGGAGACTTTTTTGACCGACTGCAATTCGCAAATTAGCTCCGCGAAAATCTTTTTTTTTTTCAAGGACCCGCTACATTGGATTTTTGCATTATTTTATTACCTTTTTAATGACTTGTTAAAAGTCACCCTTGTTTCCAATCTCTCTTAATGCAAGTTTTAATATCTTATAAGTCTCTCTATTGTTAAAAATTTATTTTACAAATGGAGCAGAAAACCTCAGTCTTTTTGACACCTTTTAAATTATAAGCGAATAAGGGAAAGCAATGCAGAGGATTTAGAAGCGTAGCTATAGCATTTAGAGATAAATTTGTTTTGTATTGCGAGTCAGCCACTTTTTTAGCATCTCAGTGAGTCAATGTCCAAGTGCAGATGTATGCACGAGTTAAATTAAAATAATTATTTTGCAATATATTAGATTGTATGAAAGAAATAGCCCTCTATTATAAACTCTAAGTTAAAATCTTAAAAGCATGACTTGTGATAATACGTTTTCCAAAAGGCAGGGAAAGAGTTTATTCGAAACTAAAAATGTTTAATACGGCCTTCAGAAGTAAAAATAAAGTTGATGGTTATATAGATTTTTGACTTCGATAAAAGACCAGCCTAAAAAGTTGCACTATAGATCGTAGTCTTTTACCGTTTCGGAGATCGCAATAGTACGTATTAGGTATAGGATAAAAAACAAGTTTATTGAATGATCAACTGATGGATAGATAACAGTGTGTTACTCAATATTGTCACGCTTTTCATTGCGTTAAACAAGATATCGTGGTTGTCGTGGGGTGTCATTTCCGATCGCAGTTCTGTTCAAAAGTTTGATTATACTGGTAATAACACAGACCGTAAACAATAAATGAAGTATGAGTTAAGGCTATGTAAATATTTGTATTAAAAAAAGCTTATAAAAGTATTACCAGATGGCACTGATAAATATTGACACCACCGGAAAAGTGTGTTTAAAATTTTGATTTTTTCCCTGAAATTAGTTTTTTACTCAGTTCTTTTACATCCAGAACCGTAAAGATAATACTGTTGAATTGTACAGCGGAATAGTTGACAAACGTTGCGTTATTCAACTAGGATGCTCGAATTCCCTTTAAAACATAAGTGTTAAAATTGTTTATTTTCGTGCTTGCTAACAGAAAGTGGCTGAGAATTTTAGCAGTATAGGGTTGCCTGACGGAAAAGTCTGAGCAAACAATAGTGGCCGACATGACAAACATCGGATCCCCATTTTTTGGACAAACACATTTTTGCGTGAGGTTTTCAATTTCATATAAAATATGACGACGCGATGGTATCAAATCGTTTCGAATTCAGGCATTAAGGTTGTACTCGAGTTGATATGCTGAGGAATTGTAAATTCGACTGTTAGAACGTTTTGCCAAAAACAATTTTGCATTTTGCAATAATTTGAGCAGATGATAGATCCTAACAGAGATTCTACAATTACTAATGAATAGGGATAAACCGGCCACAACCGTCAATCTAAGCAAGCACCTAGTTGACGCCCTCAAATTAAAACAAAAAATTCTAGCATGCCAATTCACCCCACTGGATTTTTTTAACGGCGTACACTTGATCACTAAACACTGAAACACTAATTTGTTTCATCTTCTATAAAATTCACTTAACTTAAGTGAGGCGACCTTATACAAAAATACATTGTTCTATCACAATCTACTGTGCCGTGCATAGAAAATAAAGTAGTATGTTTTTAACAACTTATAAAATGCTGTCCACAAAAAAAAATGAGGAATGGCTTCTGCTCATTATAAGTTACTGTTATTATCTATTTTGGACATAGTAGACGCTCGGTCACTGTCAGATGACAGTCTTCTATTTCGTTTAATTGACATTTTGCTTTGCGTAGTTATATTCAATGATAGCATTAGTACTTCTGAAGGATATTAAAACGTTTAATATGTTTCTTGGTAAACACTGCCTGGATTATTTCTGTACTAAAAGCAGCCTCTTGTTGGTGCGAAACGTTAACCTCTCTATAGTGAGATGTTTCTGAGAGGTTGAAAATAGAAAGACTTGCTAGGAACCTTTAATTGTTTTACTATGTATCAATTTGCATATTTTACATTTACTGCTGCAGCAAATTCAATTGGAATAAAAGAGGGACTAGACACATATTCAGGCGGGTCTCGTATAAAATAACATAGGCTTTAAATTTCATTATTCCCTATGAACGAGACAGAAATTTACTTGAGGCAGCAGTAAGCTGTGTAGACTTTATTTTTTATAAAAGCATTTGCCGAAAAAGAGAAATATTGTACCGTGACTTGTAACTAGGTGTGTATAAATTCTCAAGTTATGAAGCTTATTGTAACACAGTAAAAATAATGATGAAAAGCGTTCAATGCACAAACACACAAGAGAAGTCAAAAATAAGCTCAACCAAAGTGTTTAAAGTAATTAATTTATTGATTGCTAAGTATTGTCCGAAAATACAGTTAGTGTTTTTATAGTATATTATCAGTTTAAGGTTTCTTCTTGCAAGTTGCTAACTCGATTGTAGTATATGCTCGTAGCTTCAAAATTTTCTTTTATCTAGCGTGTTTGGTCAAAACACTTGGAGGGAAGAAGAACAGCTTTAAGCACATGCTTTCGGTTATTAAGGAAAATAGTCTGGGCATAGCACAAGGCACATTTTTATGAGTGACCTGTATTTTGTAACAAAGTCAGATGAAGCGAAATGCTATGCAGATGATACCAACCTGCTTGTAGGTGGAAACAATCTTACCGAGGTTAGTGATATTTTTGCAAGGACTCGTGACTGGTTTTTAGGAAATAGATTGATATTAAACAAAGAAAAAATACATTTAATCATGTTTATCATCCATCAAAATTGTTGTGTTCTATACTGTACTGGGCACATACTACTGTTGCTCTAAATGATTCGAAAAATACGAACAAGTCACAACTTAAATATTAGTATTATAGGGTATTTCTATTTTGTGCAGTAATCCAAACGAGCATCACAAGCAGGAGCCCGTCCTTGCTGCCTCCAGAGAGCGAAATAGGTTTCGGTCGATAGTGTGGGATGAATACGACGCAGTTCATCAAAAATATTTAGAAATAGGTAAGTCTCGTACAAATATTTTTGTGTTTTCTTATAGAAAGTTAATGAAGCATTGAAACTGCAACGGTAATAGAATAAATGTATTAATAAAATATATTAAAAAATGAAATAATATTGTGTTAATGGTAATGCAAATTGCATTCCTTACATAGTCCATTATAATGAAGTTTAATGCGCTTGTGAAAATTTTACCAACGTATACAGAATATCTGAAAATTACAGTTATATAGTCTTAAAGCTTGTTTAATTTAAATGAAATGCCCCATACTTTATGTCAAAAACTATGAAATGCTATTATACCATCCTAATAATTAATTAATTAATAATTATTAATATTTCATCAGTTATGTTAATAATATATACAATATATTTCCTATGAAGGCAAGTGTAAAATGGATAGCTTTACTATGTTCAGTTTTCTTTATCGACAACAAACTCTCAAACTTTTCTTTTATTACACGTAAACTTATCGCCCGAATGAAATCTGATGATAAATCTGACAGACATACACGATATTTACATGAAAAAAGAGGATGAACATAAACATCCATGACCGGTTAGTTTCGATTTTGATGCGGAAAAAGTTTAACAGATGAAAACGAAGAAAAGAAAATATAGTGTTTTCTGTGGGACACGAATATTATCAAAGGGGCATTGTTCGAAATATTTTTTTGGTTCTAGTATATATTCTAATATATATTTCCACCTCATACTGGTAGTTTCCCGTCTATTAGATTGATGTCATTAGTGAACTGTGATCTCGCATAATAAGAATGTATCTGGTTACAGTTTCCTATTTCAATCAAACGTGTGCCAACAAGATATTATGTTGAAATGAACTGATTGTATGTACGGTTAAAGAAGATATTCTTTTACATGAAACGAAAAATGAATGTCACTTCCGATTCGGTCGAGAAAATAAAACAATATTGACATAAATGTTCTTATAAAAAGGATGTTTCTACTTGGTTGCATAAAAAAGTCTGATTCAATTGCTTTTCTAAAAACTAATTGAATAAAGAAATATTTTAGGGTCCGCCTCAAAAATATAACGTTTTTTAGAAGATGCGTCTACTTCTAATATGTTATTTTAAAGTTAATTGAACTTAGAATAAGGTGTAAAGGGATGTTCTCGATTTTTCAGTTATTTTGTTATTCTTTTGTTTCCTTGCCAATTAAATATCAATTGAAGTAAAAATGGAAATGTTACTTAATTTTTATCCACGTAAATGGGCATCTTCTCGGACTACACATGTAAGGCAAATTAAGACAAAAGTAGCTAATTACACACCGATCTAGCGTGCGGGAAGCGTCACTTTACCACATCAGTTTCGTTTCACACGGAGCCGAGCCACTTCGGACATTTCCGGGATTTTACCGCACGGGTTTGGAAGCAATCGAATGTTTTCGGAGATATTTCCCACGCTTTGAATTTTGACGTTTGTCAATTCTGAAGGTCGTGTCAGTGAATGTATTCTTGTTGTTTTGGGAAAATGTATGCAACAATTGCGGTAAATGGCATTTGACTGACGAGTTTATTTGATACTATTGATGTAAAGATGTCACGCTTTGGTCAACAACACCCTTCACACCCAGTATACCACTAAAACTCTAACTGTACAAAATTTGAAATCACTAAAATATTATTGCATTTACTTTCATTGTTAATTTTCAACAGAAAGGGGAAAAAAGTTATTTCCCAATCCACATCCTGTTTGTGACAAGGACTCAACCCGAACCCGAAAATGCTTCCGTTAAAATTCCGTTAATACTTCGTTTAGCGGTATTTAGCTGAAATTAATCTCGTTTCCACTTGAATAATTTAATAATGACGCATAGAAACAAATCACGCATCGATAAAACTTTCAACAGACGTTGAAAGCGCTTTCGCTATGCAGATTCGGGAACAACAAAATTCAAATTATTCGGGACCTTTTCAATTCGTTCCGATCGAAATTTACAATCGGCGAGTTTATGGGAAATGCACTGGAAAGTTTAAAGTTTAAACAAGGATTTAGATTGGTAGTTACGCCCGAAGTCGCAGGTCCTTTATGGTCTGTAAAACTGAAAAGGATTTACGGGGAAGGATGAGTAAATGCTCCTCGCACTTTCGACAAACGAGTGGTCGTGGAATCATAAAAAATTTACTGCTTGCATGCGAGCTTATTAATTTTTTCTCGTTTATATCTAAAAGGTCTCAAATGTACTAAAAATATTTGAACCTATCTTTCATTAAATTGAGGCCATATTTATATTAAAATTGATTTTGTTAAATATAAAAGAAAGAGACTGAGGAACGGACAATCAAATTCTTTTTAGCTTTTAGAAGTAGACATGGATGCACAAAATATACTTTTATATTATGGGGGCCCAATGAAAATTGATAATAGATAATATTTCAACTTGCTATACTTTGAATAAATATAGTCAATAGATGTATTATATTCTATTCTATTATACGAAGAATGCAACGCTGGCTAAATTCAATAATACATATTTTAATCTTTCTCGTGTATTCAATGAATTTGTGTTATCAATTATAAGAGTAATGTAGTGCTAAATTAAAAAAATCTAACACTACAAACAGGTAAATGGATTGTGCATTTGATACTATTTTTTTTGACTAGACAACATTTTATAAGAATTTAAAAAATGTTCTACAAGCAAGTCTAAAAAAATTTAGCAAACCAATCATTTTTTTAAAGGGTGCATAATTAAAATTTAGAAGCAAAAAAAAATATCTGCAAGAAACACTTTTAATGCAGCAAGCCATAATTTTAAATATTCCATTATTAACCATTAACTTAATTAATTAATTAATACACAAATTTTTTCGTTTTAGTAAAGTGTAACATTGGTTTGCCACTATTTAAGATACACCCTGTAATTCTTATCAAAGAACACTATATTCTGAACAATTTATAAAGAAATTTGGCTTGGAATTAAAAAATAGAAAGTTACATGGGTGTTCAAGGGCTAATCAATAAAGCAATACATTAGATTGAAAAGTATTCATTCGGAGTCAATGTACTAACGGTATCAGATCGTTGGGTTTTGTAAGAACTAGTTTCTGAAACTTTAACACTACTCAACTATTAGAACTCTCCACCATTCTTACGTGAGATTTAAATTAGAATATAGATCACTGATGTTGCATCCAATATATCAATGTCATATTGATAGCTCGGAGTTGATCCATAAATACTCAGTTTTTAATGAAGATAATATATATCCCCATAAAGGATTTGACCATCATGTACTATTAGGCAGGTTCAGAGAATTAATTCTTTAAAATTTCTGTATTGGCTTTTGCATGGTACGGTGAACTCTGAGTGACTTTTAAACAAAGTAAAATACGACTCCAGTATTGCAGCCTGACGTAGACCTATATACTTCGTCTCCCTACACCTAGGACAAATGTTTTATATTAGTCTCAAATTTTGTTTATGTGTGGTAACTTTCATATTTTTTCAGACATATGCGATATTAATGCGGATACACTTCGTTAGAATGTTGACTGTTTTTTGCTTCATGCGCAGAGCATATAACTGCTTAGAGTACGTGTGTGAATAATTAGCTTCCTTAGACTACGTGTGCTAGTAATTGTACTATACTGTATTTTCATTGTTTTTCTCTTATTTATATAGTTTCTGTAATTAGGTGTTAACCTGTTGAAATAAATTATTATTATTATTATTAAAGGACAGTGACCTCCTGTCATTGTTTTTACTATTACTGAAAATTTTCTCGAAACCATTGGACAGCATCCAAATGATCCACCTCTTTCTGCGGCTAATCTCAAAGCCTTTATGGTTCGTTCTCTGTATCATTTGCGAAGATATTCTGTTTAAATTAGGATCCTTAATCCTTAATTTGGTCAGAAAACAATAGAGATCCAAAAATGAACTTCTGAGGCAAGCCAAAATTTAAATGACTCCCAGAGGCGAAAGAAACTTCCGCCGTATATGGAACGTTCAGAGCTGTGAAGAAATCATCAAAGGCAGTCGAAGTTACATTTTTACAAAGGGCAATGTCAAAAATGGCATCCACGAAGTCTAATATAAAAAGTACTGGAACTCTTACTATCTGCACATATATGTTTTGAATATTTTTGACGGCGTTTCGTAATATGGTCTTCTGCACGCTCTTTTGCTTTTAAATGCCTTTGCGTGAATTAAAAAAAATGTTTTTAATATGTTGTTTATCTAAAAACTACTCATAGTAAATTCTGTCCACATCAAGCCATTTTAATTTTTTGTTAAAATGTTAAAATAACAGTCAAAAAATAAGTCGATTGAAATTAAACGACCGATACAATAATAAATTCCGTAGTATCGAAATAATCTCAAATCGACCGAACCAAAGTGATCAAACTTTGGAATTCGATTTCGTGCCGCTTAAACATACATTTTCACGCACATCTCGGGACGAGCCTGTTTTCTTAAATTGAAATTAGTTGCCGGAGTTTACGGGGCTGACATGAATTTAAAATTAAATCACGCACGGAAACTTCGCACCGGAACTAAACTTCGAACAATAATTCGTGTTGATAGAGAAATTGACTTGGCAAGATTTCGTCCCATCCGCGCGTTTCGACTGCATTGTTCGCGGTATGGGGATTGGGGTGGTAATTTTCAGAAGATTTTCTACAAAAAAAGTTGTTGGGAAAGTCATAAAAGGCAATTGACGAAACACTAGGCGGGGAACATATACGACCAATAACGTTGGAGCTTAACATAACAAAAGTATCATTGACGTAGTGTTTCTATAATTTTCTTCTCAAAGGTTTCCATAAATATATTCGTGATGACTGGTAATAGTGGAGAACCCATAGCTGTTCCCGACGTTTTTTTTTTTCAAAAATTTTACCGGTATATGAAAAATATGTTCCAAACAAGCATTTTTTAATTAAGGTGAGAAGGTTTGGTTCCAGATTCTCGGATTTTAGTAAATCTGAAATGATGGTGAGAGTTTCAGGAATAGGAACAGTATATCGTGTG